TACAAATCAAGTGTTTTCTTATCTTGGCAACACTTAGTCTCCTCTCATTCAAGTAATTTACGCAAGGACAATAAAACTTCCCATTATTGTCAATAATATTTTTCTTAATAAATTCCAAAAAATTCTTTACCCTGTTATCATACCCATCACTTGTTTGTCTAGTATGCATCCAACTACAATCCATATATCACTACCTAAAAGAGAATAAAACTAATGTTCATGTTATCCTTTTCAAACTAATTCAAAAATGTAAATTCCTAATTAATCTAAGATTTTAAATAATTTAAGTAAAAGAATAAATTTAAAAAATTTTGGAAAAATCTCTCCTAAACATTGGACATTCCAAAACTTATAAAAAATTTGCAAGAGAAAATTAAAAATTTATTTTGTATCACCCCATAACATAAGCTATCAAACACACTCCTTGAGAAATAATTTATGATTAAATACTGCACATTTACTCATAATTCAATTAAGTATGTTGAGCAGCACGCCTTATTATAATATTTTCTTCAATTTCTCGAAAGAAGTGAATGAGTTGAAATCAACCACGCGTTAATGAATGGTCGTCACATCACAATCAGTTTTCACCAACCACATAATACTGAGCTCCAAGACTATAAATAATTAATCAACAACCCCATAGCAACTTCATGATCAACAATAATCTTTCATGATCCCTGTAAAATGTTTAATAAACTCTTGCCAATTTCTACTTTCAATTTCATACCTCTTTTTGTGGTTCTCTTTTGTATTAATGCTTGCCATTTTTCCGTTGTTATTGCCACAGGTTCATCATCATCATCTTCCTTGGATGAAAAAGTGGCTACGCTTGCCATTATTTCTTTTTGTACTGGATTTGTATTTGGAACCGTACTTGCCATTATTTTTGCAGCTATCATTCTATATAGTAGGATATTTAGAAAGGTTTAGTGTAAAGGTAATAATTAATGATTAAATATTAAACCTTGTAAGGATAGAAGAAGAATGGGCCTCTTTAATTAATGATGCAGCCTCTCAAGTGGTATCAAATGTGGGGTCGTTCACTCAACAGCTAGAGACAAAAGAAGAGACAAATATAGAGCAAGACATCTATGGTGCGGATTTTGAAGACTTTCAACTAGTCACTCACAAGAAGAAATAGCAATTAACGAGATGCTCAGTCAAAAGAAGAAAGCAAAAGAGACTGGAAGATAAGGTGATAAGCCAAGCTAGAAGTAGAAAGCTAAAATGGAAAAAAGACAGAAGGAATTTATTTCTTCTTGAAGTTCTTTTATTCCTGCAGGTTTATTATTTTTTTCAAATCTTTTTAATATATTATTTAAATTAATTGTTCTATTTGGTTGGAATTGTTTTCTTCTTTATTTAGAATATCTTTTATTTTCAACAAATATTGGTTTTTTATGTCTTCATCTTGGATTTTTTCTATTATTTCTATTAAGAACTTTAGATTTTCTTTATCCAAAGTATTTATCTATAATTTTTCAAGACAATTTCAGATTTCTTTTCCATAACAATTATTTTACAAATATGAGCATTGGCTAACTTATATTGAATGTCAAGAGGGGAATTATTTGCTGTTCCAATTTTTTCATAAGTTTTTTCATAGTATTTGGTTGGTATTAATCCTTCTTATATACAATTCATATCGGCACCAGAATCTACTAAAAATACAATAGTTTAGTGAATTCTTGGTTGATTACCAGACTGACCTGGAAATACCATTTTCTATAAGTTATTTGACATATCATATTTATATATCTTTCTTGATTTATTTCTGTAGATAATTCATTAACATTTTCATTATTTTCTTCATTATTTGGTTTTTTTAACAAGGCTCTTATCTGTAAAATTTCAATATCTCTTTGTATTTCATTATTTTTCAATTCTCTAATTTCTTGTTTAATATTTTTTATTTCTTCTTGAAGTTCTTTTATTCATGTTGGTTTATTATTTTTCTCAAATCTTTTTAATATATTATTTAAATTAATTGGTTCTATTTGGTTGGAATTGTTTTCTTCTTTATTTAGAATATCTTTTATTTTCAACAAATATTGGTTTCTTATGTCTTCATCTTGGATTTTGTCTATTATTTCTATTAAGAACTTTAGATTTTCTTTATCCAAAGTATTTATCTGTAATTTTTCAGAACAATTACAGATTTCTTTTCCATAACAATTATCTTCAGAGGAAAATTCTGAAAATGATTCGTTGTCTATTTTAATATTGAAAATGTTTTCTAGATTTTCTTCTTCCAAAGTTTCTTCGTCTTCAGATTCAAAAGAGCTATCTTCTAACATTATCCTAAGTAAATTTTATTTATTTTCTTCACTTATTTGGAGTTCTCTTATTTTCTTTTCCATTTTGCATTTTGAGAAATAATGTCCAAACCTGCCACATTTATAACAAACTATATCTTTTTTATCTTTTTTGTTTTGGGTAGTATTCTTATTTTTCTTATAAGGTGTGTATTTCTTCGATTTTGGAAAATATTTTTTCTTTCTATATTTTTTATAATAGGTAGGGATATTATCCTTTTTCTTTTTTCTTCTAGAGGGAGCTTGGATTTTCTCAAATCCATATTGTTCACAAAAATCGCCTAATTCTAATTTTCTTTGTCTGCTTTCATTATAAATCTTCTTTGCATTTTTATTTCATTACACAATTTTAATCCTATTATTATTTGTATTATTTCTCCGTAAGTTAATGCATCATAAATTATAGTTCCCAATCCTTGTCTTTGTTTTATTTCATTTTTAACTATTTTTGCAAAGAGTTTTGGTAATCCAGAAATGAATTTTTCTTTCCCGGTTTCAGAGTTAGCATCTTGTCTTTGAAAAAGTTTAGGAATAAAATTATTTTTATACCATCTGAAATCCGCAAGTGTAGGACATCGTAGATTCATTAATTCAGTTAGATATCTTTCTTGCATTATTGTTGGTTCTCCTACAAAATGTTTTATTATTGCTTATATTAATTGGGCAATATTATCTAGATAAGCTGTTTCTATTCCATCTTCATTTCTTTTTATAGAATGCGAAGTTTTTACTTGATGTCTTTCTATTTCTATAAGGATATTTTCCCACTAGTCCTTCAGACTTCCAGTAAAACCTTGCATTAATAATTCAAATATATTAGTATCTTGAACGTTATTTATCCTATAAGTGGCAACTGCCATAGTTATTTCCTGAGCTACATTCATTATTTCATATTCGCTTAATTCATCTATATTCCACTCATTTATGGAGAATCCATCGTAAGACATAGTGGATCTTTCCTCGAATTGAAGGTTCGGGAGTGTTGGTCTCAGATAGTAATTTTTTATGTTTCTATATTTGTTTTTTGGATTAAATTTTATTTTATTAATTGAAATATTTTCTTCATTTTTGTTTATAACATTAATTCTGTCTTTAATATTTAATGCTTCTAATCTTTTATGAATATCTTGCAACAGATCTTTAGTACTTTGTTTATCTCTCATATCCCATTTTCCTAAACTATCTTTCTAAACCAACTCATTATCAACCAATAAATATTAAACGAGGAGAAGAAACGCAGGCGAAGAAGAACCATGGAGATTATTTTACTTCAATATTGAATTTTGATGGTCATATTGCTTTTGAAGATGTCATTAAGAAATAATCTCTTAATGATTCATGATTAATTAAGAGAACGGCAACACTAAAATGACCCACAAGCACAGCAAGCCACGAGCAAGCAACGGAGATGAACCCACAGCGTTTATGTGGCAAAGGAAGGTGGGGAATGGCCAGACATGGTGGGCTTTGGAGTTTCTTTGGTGGAGGATCAAAGGCAAGATAACGACAAGCTGGGTAATGGTCTGTTTTTCGAAACAGAGTAGTGGGGTTTGAGCAGGGGAAAAGTTCTTAAAACAAACTACTAAATGGTTCCTGTCAAAAAATCATTTTATATTGTATATAAAACGATTCTCTGACAACAACCGTTTAGTAAAGTAACGGAATACTAAATGGTTCCCACCAAAGAACCATTTAGTAATCTAGCGATGTCATATGCTTGGAATCTAAAACGAACACTAAATGGTTAATGTAAATAATCATTTAGTATTTGTTTAAATATAAAACGGTTATTTTTAAAATTATCCAATAATTATTTTTTAAAATCTCACCGTTATTCATTAAACAGCTTTACATATAACCGTTTAATAAAAGGTGATACATAAATCATTTTTTGAGTAGTGAGTCTCAAGGGACTTGATTAGTTATTAATGAATTTGGTGGAACTTTTGGGCATTTAAAATAATTGTGGGGAACTTGATAGTGAGTTTTCCAAAAAGGAAATTATTTTGCCTCCTGAGAACTTTCATTGAAAGATCGCAAACTCCTTTGCCCTAGATTTTCTTGGAAATTCGTAAGTGTTATGCGAACAAAAGTGTAACGCGTGGAAGGTGGAAATTACTCGGTGGCTAGTAAAAGTTGACTTGACTCTAAATTTTCTATGACTTAGGTTGCTTGACTTAAAACGTGTGATGACTTAGCACTTTATAAGAGACCAAACGTTATAAAACACTTGGCACACCACTTAGCTATTTGATTTAATTTAGTCCCTATTAATTTATTTTCTAAAATTGTTTTCCATAAATCAACTCGGAGTAATTTCACAGAATAGTATATGGAAAAATATGCAAATCCAAGTATAGATGCAACTATTGGCCCAAAAAAAAAAAGGTATAGATGCAACTAGTATGAACTACCATTTAAATTCATATTAATTAAATAAATAAAAATATAATACTTTTATTCTATTTTTATATATAATAAAAATTTTAAATGTAGAAAGAGATACAATTTTGTTTATGCAAGAAATAGACATAAATATCATCTATACAACATGCTAAATTTAATTAATGTAACTGACTGGTTCAGTCAACCACACGCTTCTTTCATTATAATCAGTTTTCCCCAACCATGCACGCGGTATTGAGCTCCAATACTACAAATAATCAGCAACCCCATAGTAGCAGCAACCATACTTTCAATTTCATGATCAGCAATAATCTTTTATGATCCTTCTCAAATGTTAACCAAACTCCTGCAAATCTATACTTTAAATTTCATACCTTTTGTGGCTCTCTTTTGTAATGCTTGCCACTTTTCCGTTGTTATTGCCACAGATTCGTCATCATCATCTTCCTTGGATGAAAAGTGCCTGTGCTCGCCGTTATGTCCTTCTGTGCTGGATTTGTGTTTGGAACCGTATTTGCAGCTATCATTGGATTAGGCAGGATTATATTTAGAAAGGCTTTGGTCAAGAAAATAAAACGAGGAGAAGGAACGCAGGCGAAGAAGAAGCATGGAGATTTCACTTCAATGTGGAATTTTGATGGTCATATTGCCTTTGAAGATATCATTAAAGCAACAGACGATTTTGATATCAAATACTTTATAGGAAAAGGTGCTTCTGGGGAGGTTTACAAGGCAAAACTTCCCAGCGGAAAAATTGTTGCAGTGAAGAAACTTCGACGCATGATATCTGAAAATCAATCATCATTTCAAAAGAGTTTTTACAACGAGATCGAGGTTTTATCGGAGATTCGTCATCGAAACATTGTCAAACTTCATGGGTTCTGTTCCGATATAAAGTGCTTGTTTCTGGTTTATGCATTTATGGAAAGTGGTAGCCTGTTACATGCGTTGAAGAATGATGAAAAGGCTCAAAAGTTAAGTTGGAGCAAGAGATTCAATATTGTTAATGGGATAGCTCACGCTGTGAAATACATGCATCACGATTGTCTTCCACCAATTGTTCATCGAGACATAACAAGTAGCAATGTCTTGTTGAACTCAGATATGGAAGCATTTCTATCAGACTTTGGCATCGCTAGGCTGCTCGATCCACATTCATCAAACCATTGTGTATTAGCTGGTACTTGTGGTTACGTTGCTCCAGGTAATTTATTTCTCTCGCATGGTCTATTATTTTAAAAGAAAGTTATTTATAATTTCTTATTGTTTATTATTTTAAAAGAAAGTTATTTATAATTTCTTACATTTTCCTATCAAATTTTTGCCGCTTCACTTTTAAACTAAAGGTTTAAGAGGGTCTACGACCCTAAATTTATTTTTAGCATAATTTTTTTTTAATTTTTAAAAATAGTGTAATGTCATCCCTATCATTAATAAAAGTTAATTTTAACCATTAGTTGATCAAAAATTATAAAAAAAATAATTCAAAAATTATAGAAAATGACAAAAAATTACAAAAAGGGTACAAAATTATAGATAAGAATCCAAAAAATTTTCAAAAATCTTCATCATTTATTGTAATTTTTGATGTCTTTTTTTCATAATATTTTGTCAACTGGCAGTCAAAATTAGCCTTTTTCAACCACATGAGTAATTTGGATTGTTTTAAAAAAATTGAAGAGAATTATTCTACTAAAAACAAGTTTAGAATCTCATATACCCCTAGACCTATAGTTTAGAAGCAAATTTTTTATTGAACACAATCATTTTGTTTACTTCAATTTTACCCTTTAATCCTTATTAATTTAAAATAAATTTATTTATAATTTCTAACATTTTTCTGTCAAACATTCGTTTCTCTAAACTCTTTTGAGTCCTTGCAGAGTTAGCATACACGTTAAAAGTGACCGAAAAGTGCGATGTCTATGGCTTTGGAGTAGTTGCATTAGAAACTATGACAGGAAAGTATTGTGGAGAGTTAATTTCATGTCTGGCAAAGGATTCTACTGATGAAAAGATAATGCTAAAAGATATCTTAGATACACGAATCCCTCAGCCTCGTACTCGAAAAGATATTTGGGATGTAATTCTTGTGATGACCATTATATTAGCATGTCTATGTCCTGACCCAGATTGTCGGCCATCAATGGAGCAAGTGACTCAGAAACTTTCACTTTCTAGGCCACTTTTCACACCTCCCTTCAATGATATTTCAATTCATCACTTAAGGAGTCAAGCCATAATTTCATGTAATAGCTGAAGATGCTAACTATTTGCTATATGGTGAGAGATGAAAAATAATCTCTCTCCTTTTCCACTGCAATGAATATTACATGCTTCCTTTGCAATTTATTTCCGTCCGCTGTATATATACTGCCTTTGATATTGTTATAAGGCACCTTCAATTACCTCACCCAAACCAAAGTAGTTAAGTTATTAACTTTTTTTGAAAATAAAATAAACTTCTAATTTTACCCTTATTTAAATAAAAAAATAAATTGGCATTACATCCTCTCTCATATTTAATGAATTTAAATAAGGATAATATTGAAAAAATATAATTAATACCCACAGTTAATAAGTTTTGAATATATTTTTACAAAACTATGGTTTTAATTAACCTTTAAGATTGATTATTTGGTGTATCCAAACATGCACTTATATTAAAGACCCAAAAATGCTTTTAGAAAGTGCCTTTTAATAGGGACGGACGGGAGTATATATTATTATATTTTGTTCATGTTTAATCATTCATCAAGTAAAAAAAATATTTCTTAAAAAAATTTCATTTAAAGAAAAATCAGGCTCACTATTTATCTGTGTTTAGATGTTTATAAACATTTAATCTCTTATTATTATGAGAAATAAATGTCATACTTCCTCTAGACCAAAATATATGGCCTTGGTAACTAATTCACAATTCTTAAAAAATATTAGTTGAAACCTTAATTTCTTTAAAAAAAACTACACCTTTCCAATTTTACCCTCATTAGATACTCTATATAAGTGATTGGATAATGATGATTAAAATTGCAATACATGCTTTGTTTGAAAAAGAGTAAAAAATGAAGTAGGAGTATGTAATATCTTGGAAAATAACTCCCAAATTAATTATGTTAATATAGGGTAATAAGGAAAATTTAATTATCAATGGGTTAGAGGACAGTTGGAGAGAGCTAATGGACCTATTAAGCTTTGTCTACGGCCTTTGGATTGAGTTCAAAATTGAGCTTGCCTTCTCTATGCCATGCGCCACAGTGGATGGTGAGAATTTTGATTTAATGAGCCTTCAGGCTCGATAAAAGAAGAAAGAAAAACAATGAAGGAAGAAGAAGCACTCAATTTTCTCTGATAAGGCTTGAGTTTTTGAATTTTTGGGATCATCTTGGAGTTTGCAAACACCTAGGATATCTCCATTATACCTTTCTCTTCCTCTCTATTTAGTTTTTGAGTTAGGGTTTGCTATAAAAACTTGATGTTCGGACCTATGGAGCTATGGATCAAAACCTATTAGTTTAAGTAGAACTAATAGGAGTTATTTAACTTGTCTACTCCTATGTTTGATAATTTAATGCATCTTTGAGAGTGGGCTCTCATTTATGGACATTTAAAGTGGAATAAGTGTTGGGAGTTGAGGTTGTTGGAAGCCATAAATGGTGGTTCTTGAGTTCAAAGAAGTTAACTAGAGCTAATGAGAGCTAATAAACCTAATGGTTGTGATTATACTTAAGAAGTTGAGATTTTTTAGTGGTTAAAATGTTGAATTGGAAAGCTGAAGGTGTGTGATTAAATTAGTGATATTAATTATGATTTAGTGATGTTAATTATAGATTAACCACTTTGTGCATCATTTGAGCTTAGGAATAGCTCAATAAGAAATAAGTGAGGGGTAATCTTTAACCTCTCTAAGATTTGAGGTAACTGGGGTAAATTTACTTTGTGCGCATGGGCTTGTTTGATTAATTATAGTATTTTGTAAACATATTTTGAATATGTGAAACTACTTTTATATATGGTATAATATAGTTTATGTTTGAGAAAACTACTAATGCAAGTGATACATGGAAATATGGTTGTGAAATATGAAAACAGAATTTTATAATGAGAAATGATGATAAATATAAAGAATTGACAATGTGGCTTTCAAATGAGAAAGCTTGTATTTGTTTTCCTACATATGATAGGATGTCATGAGATTGTGTGATGAGATGATGATTATGTTACGTAAGATGATGATTATGTTGATTATAGTATGATGATTGTGTTTAGGCATGATTAGATGAATTTTGGCATGTTGAGTATGTTAAGCATGTATTTACTGCATGATCATGATGGGCAGGAGTTCTCCTTAGAAGAGGAGTAGTTATAAATCCATTTAGTATAGCAATTATTTGATAATTAATGGCTAGCTTCTTGTCCCATTATTTTTCGAGGGGCTGTCCCACCATTTGTCAAGAAATTTTAACCTAACTTGCCTCCACTTTTTCCCTAAGGAGACTAGGATAGGGTTAACAACACCCTAAAGATTCATGAATGGGGAAAACTGTGGTCCAAAAATGAGTGTAGTAACCTTTGATAGGATAGCTCCTCATGATTGGTGAGTTTAAGTTAGTCTATTCATAGGGGCATAGCCCTATTTGATTTATTATCCTATGGTTTTAGTCAGAGGTATCAGGACGTTATTAATCATGCATTTCATCAATAAATGTCACCTGGTTGATAAGATTGTGAATAATATATGCTGTGAACATACATGTGATTCATATATATAATTTCCTACTTTGCATTTATATGATTAGTTGACTTCCATTTGTATAGATTAGACTATCTTGATTACAAAGTGGTTATACTCACCCCTTTATTTAACATTGTACAAGTACTAGCTTCAAACAAGATAAAAGAAAAGCACCCGAGACTTGGGAATTTTAATTCCTATTGTAACATCCTAGTGTTCAAATCTAGGAATTATCAGTGTTAAAAAGAATATTTTGGTCCAATTAAATAAATTATTATTTGATTGTGTTTAAGGGAGACTAATATAGTTTTTGAATCCTATGACAACCTTCGAAGAAGTCCAGGTCAATGTTCGAGCGAGCCATGGCACAAAGGAAAGTTTAAATTATGGTGGTGCTCTCTGTGCCATGCACCGTGGCAGACATTTCAATGCGTTGCAATGCACGTGCAAAAATCAGCATTTATCAATTCGTGAAAACAAACCTGAATGAAAGGGAAGAAGGAAGGGAAATCAAGGGAGCAACGGAGAGGAGCTTGTGACTACTAAGGCACGATCTCAAGGGCATCTTGGATGCATTTAAAGCTTGAATATTCTTCATTGGATAAGTTTCATTTCACCCTCTCCTTTGCTTTGATGTGAAAATTCTGACTCTAGGGCATTTAGGGGCTTATTTTCGGTTGTGGTTGAGCAATGGATGAACTTATTGACCTATTTAAGGTCTTGAAGAGTTAAATCAAGCCTCTAACCCTAGGTTTATGAGTTTTATGATGATTTAAAATTTTTGTTCAGGGTTTGGATGAACGCTAGGCATAATTTGAGAGTTTTTAGACAATGTGGATAATTGGATGGTGACTTTGATATGTTAGGATGTTTAATAGGATGGTTAGAGTGTATGAAAATGGTTGATATTATTAGATAAGTGATTTGAGTGTTATAGGTACTTAAAACCTAGTGAATTTAGGATTTATCATGAGTGATAATTGACAATTGTTACTTAATTATGTAGATTGAGTATTGCTCAAGCTTTATCATGCATATAGAATATGTAGAACTAATGTTAAGCCATGATAACCCTTTTATGTGACAAAAGATTGAGGTAACAGAGTAATTTACACTAATTGATTATATTGCTTAACTATTTGTGAGTAGATAAGTACATTTGTTTTCATAGGTTTTGAAAGCTTGGCATGTTGCGAAAAATGATTTTCCTTATGCATTAGAACTACTTTTGAAATGATAAAGATTTTTGAGTCTTTATGTGAAAAAGATCATGATTTTTCATGTGTGTGAAACGTATGGAAAGTATGAGTATAATCATGTTAGGAGGTGAGAATTCATCCATAGGACGGAGTAGTGGAAATTCATATGACATGTATCTTCTTAGTATCTGATGAGGCATGGTGTTGGACATTATCTCTTTAATATCTATGCGAGATACGGCATTGGAGAGTGACACTCCTTAGCATTAGTAATGTAGTGTTAGAGTAATAACACCCTGATTTGTGTGTGATAGGGGGAAGCCATAGTTTGAAAGTGGGATAGGACACCTTTAGCTGGGTGATCCTACTACTGAAGGTGTGCTTGAGTCATTGTGAGTATGCACTTGGCCCAAGAGCCTATAGTGTCAGTTAAGGTGATAAGACGGCTCAAATGATAGAATGATCGTGCTAGAGTGGAAATGAATATTAACTATGAAAAAGACTATCTTGAACTATGAAAAAGTATGTTTTGGTGTATAAAAGTTTTACTCCCATATGATTGTTCATGTTAATTAATAATGGTGAATTATTCTATTACTGAGATATTTATCTCACCCTGTGATTATTACAAGTGAGGGCTCCAGTAGGGGTAAGGAGAAGGAAGGGGCAACCGAAGAGTGAATAGCTCATTTGTATAGCTCCTCTCCTTGTCATTTTGAGTTGAAACGAACATGCCATAAATATTTTTCCAACTTAGGACCATGACATCGTTTTGGTATCACTTGTATAAAGATTTATGATAGGTATGTGTATCTTGGCCTAAGATTGATGCTATTGTAATTAAATGAGTGTGTTTGGCCAAGATAAAATTACAAGTGATATAATTATGATGATTTATGTATGAAAATGACCAAAATAATATTTCCATTAAGTTTTATCCACCCCTTTATGTTATTGTGAATTTAGGGTTTAGTGGTCATTTTAAGTATGAATTCTTATTTATATAATATGATTGACTTAATATGTTGTGTGTGTGGTCCATTTGTGGTGATCAAGGTGATTTTGAAGCTAATGGCATTTAGTAGTGTGATTTAGACACCCTTAAATGTGTTTTGAGGTGAAAACAAACCATTTTGAGTTTGGGTATCCATCTTTTTAATGAATAATTATTTGAATGTAAGACTTGTGCCATTAGCTAGAAGGCTCGAAAAGCTTTGTGTGGACACTTGAACATCTCAAATCAAACATTGGATGGCAAAATAATGCACTTTAAAAGTTCAAAGTGCTATCATGATAGCAATCTGCTGTCATAACACATAGCAATTGCACCACAGCACAAATGCTCACTGAGGGACTCATCCCTCTATGCCATCTATGGGTATGGCTTGAACCGTGAAGAACGGGCTAGATTTTGAAAAGTTTCTAGATTGTATCAACTTGTTTTTAAGCGTTGTTTGATTTCCAAAGCTTCTGTTATTAT